ATAGCAGTTCTTTGATAAAAGCCTTTTTTTCTCACGGAAATGGAGTTTTAGGAAACCCCACTCAAAGCCTAAGGAACCCATTTCTCAATTTATGAACGCTCGAGGAAGATGGAAGAAAAAAGTGAAAAGGATTTGATGGCTTGACAGAAGAAATTCCGAGCCAGAATTTATAGAAAGCCAGAGGGTAGTTCAGAAGTCGTGAGAAGAGCAAGGGGCACGGGGTTGCCTTCATCCTGTCTAGGAAACACGAAGTTCCAAAAGATTGAGATACACGCATGCGGATATTCAATCAATGATGGCGCCTGGGATTCCAACCTTAACATTAATTGAAGGGGGCACTGTTTGGATCAAAACTTGAACTTTGGGCTCAAGGAATGAGCTGGCCCGAAAGGAGGCCCAAAGGGAAAGATAGCCAGAGCCCAGTCAAAGCCCAGAAGGCAGAAAAAGGCATTTTCTGACTTGGTGCAACTCATGAAGACCACTTGCTTACCTACCCAAAGGCCAAGTGGTGTAGACTGATCAGCTACACAGCCCATAAAGCACTTTATGGTGGCATTACATGTAAAATAGCTGATGAGTCATCACCCTCAAACCGCATTCGGGCAAGGCTGCTGCTACAGAAGGCCGAGCCGAGTTGTCTATATAAGAAGAAAGAAAAACCAGGAATAAGGACACTCAATCAAACAAACAAATGCAAGCACAAACTCTGCTCAAAGCCAGATTTGCCTTCAAAACAAAGCTGTAGTCAGCCTTCATCCCTCTCGGGACAAGCCTTCATCCCTCGCGGGATAACCCTCCCTCTAAACCTTTGTAATAGCTCTGCTACCCTGTTCAACCTTGCTGTAGTATCGATTCATCTTTTGTAATCTCTCTCTCTATCCCTCTAAGCTTTCAGACCCTTGACAAAACTACAAAGATAGGAACCTACAAGACGAGCAGCCTTACCCGATAAGGTTTAACCTTGCCCGACCTTCTTTGTTTTGTTTTTGTCTTTTCAATATGTTGTATACATCCAGTTATATGCAAGTTATTTCTAGCAATATGACTACTAAAAGGCTTTCTCAATACTTGAATCCGATTTGAATATATCTTCAGTGTTCAAACCAGATCCAAGTCCTAAGCCCTCGGGCATGTAAATCTGATCAGTTAAAAGTCCTTGGCCTCAAGGCATAAAAAAGAACTTTATGTGGACTTAACCCATCCACGACAGTCCTTGATAAACGAGAAGTCCGAAGTTACTTGGGGCGCAAGTAATCGACCTACCCTCTAGTTTTATTTCTGTTATGTTATGATTACCATAGAACGCTTGAGCATGGAGTGGATTCTGATGGAAAGCCTCAAAGCCTACACCTAAGGCCCCACAAAGGCATCCATTTGGATTCATTCTGTTCTGCAATCTAGAGAGTCTAAGTATAAGAATGAACTCTGATGGGAAGCCTCAAGGCCTACACCTAAGGCCCCACAAAGGCACCTATTTGGGTTCATTCTACTTCTTGGACTCGGGTAATCAGAAGTATAATAGTTAGAAAACTCCGGCAATCACGAGAACAAATATGATGTGTTCGAGCACTGGTTTAGTTATTTATGGGAAGCCTCAAGGCCTACACCTAAGGCCCCACGAAGGCACCTGTTATAACTAACACGGTTTCTCGGATATATACATATATACAACTAAAACTCGACATCCATTTTACATCTGCCATGCTGAAGATGGCAGTGGCACGCCTGAGCACCTAGAAAGTTAACCTTGATTGTGAGCCTCAAGGCCTACACCTAAGGCCCCACAAAGGCACCTCTCAAAGTTAACTATGTCCTTCTCTTTCAGCCTTGCCCGACAAGCCTTGCCCGACGAGACTTGCCCGACAAAGCCCGACAGCGAAGCAGAAGCCCAACAGCAGCCCTCAACCGGCGCCAACCTCCAGGGGAGCTGTGTGCTTGTCGGCCAGGAATCATCCCCGACGGAAATTCCTGACGCGAACAGAAACTGGTCTATCCTAAAAAATAGATTATTTCGTGCTTTCCAAATAGTAACAACGGTAAAAAAGGCTCGCAAAAATTTAGAGATTGTGTAACTGACAAGAGAAAGGCTTATGCACGAAAGTATCCCGAAATATTGCCAAAAAACCAGAAATGGGCAAGGAAATACCAAATTGACAAGCCAAACATATCCAAAATTGCTTTGATAAAGGACAACGAAAGCAAAGATGAGTATCAGATTCCTCAGAACCATTCCACAAGCGACAAATAGATGCCGAACAAATACCTCGTTGTTGAAGTGCAGCCGTAGTGGGAAGTAAGTATGGGCAATGGTTATGGCGAGAGGGTAACTGCGGTTATTTACCCTTAACCGTTTAAGCTCTTATCCGCATAACCGTTTACCCGTTGAGTAATTGCATAAATGGGTATTCTCATACCCATAACCGTTTATAAACGATTAACTATTTAACCGTTTACCCGTTGGAGTGAGTATTAAACCGATGAAATTATTTTGGCAGAGATGAGAGAGGGGGCATCGAGGAGAGAGAGGAGCGGGGTTGGGAGAGGTCGAAACGTTTTTAGGGTTTTCAATTTTAAACTTTTAAAATTCTAAAAATATTAAAACAAATGGTTAAATGGGTACTTATTTGTAACCGCGGGTAATACTCATAATCACCATTTATATTTCACGGGTAAACGGTTTTACCCATACCGTATATTTATTTATATGGTTACCCATAACCGAAACAGTAAATTAATGAGCGGGCACCTATACCCGCAAATATTTTGCCCATCCCTCATAAGAAGTTTATCATGAGAAAACCGCCAAACCAAAATAGAGAGTCGTGGAGGGATGAAAGAATGCCATATAACTTTAGCCTAAGCGCAATCAAAATGTTTACTTCAAAGAAGCTCATGCCCAAAAGAAAATTAAACTTGCCCCAGTAGAGGAGGATAGTTACTTTTGTCATCTTTCACTGTTAAAAGGAGAGGAAGTGTTATAGGAGAAATGACGGGAAATAAAGAAGGGTTGATAATCAAATCCTCCAACCATATTTATCAAACTAAAAGAAAACTGACATTCCATAACCAATAAGCCAACGATTATGATTATTTAAATAGGATAAAGCACGCTTCAAACCATGCCACATTGAAGATCGCAAGTAGACTTTTTTTTTTTTTTTTTTTTTTTTCTTCTCTATATGGTGCAAGAGGAACATGTTGACGTGCAAAAAAAAGCCCCACAAAAATGAAGATTGTGGAGGGCAACAACCTCGAGATGACAAAAGAAGTGATTCGTCTAGTAGAGTTAAGTAAGTTTAGAACTCTGCTCAGAGCTTCTTCTACAAGACAAAATAAAAGTGGAGAAAATAAATCTTCCTAATGCACAGCAACAAATCTTAGTGTAATTAGTAGTAGAATCACACAATATAAGTTATATTTTTATCATGTTTCCAATGCGGCTTTGCATGCTGCGACATTAATGTTGATCACGGTGAAATATAACGTTCTATTTCTACATAATCTAGCATGTGGTGTTGTTGTGGTATCCCTCTCATTTAAATTCACGCGACAATTGATTAACAACTCTCTAGATGATTTATTTTGACAAATTCTTTTGTGTCTAACAGAAATAACGAAGATTGATCTTGTACGCATAGATAACTGTTGTGACAGAAAAGGAAAGAAAAGCCAACTACCTGTATACTACGTACCCATCCCAGATAATAAGAAAATCATTCAAGCACATATGGAATGGCTCTTAAAGGTGACTTTGAATTGACCACTTGACCTACAATAATATTGGATAAATAAGTTACCAATTAAGTTACAAAAAAATATTGAATGGGTTAATTGTACCCAGCTTTCTTCCAAACTGCAGAATTATATGGAAAATAGGCCAAATTTGATGACCTCGTAGACTTCCATCTACGAAATAAGCCAACTGTGTGTACAATGCATGCATATAATTCATAACATCTAGGCACGCATAAACACGCGTTTAAGTAGTATATAAACAGGTGCTTGCTGAGTTTCTTTTCATCAAATCAGAGAGATTATATTGGTTCTTCTCCAAAATTGAGAATTCTAGTTTTTGATATATATAGTGAAAAAAATTGGGTTTTAAAAAGAAGAGCAACAATGAGTAAAATCATGTGTGGCAGTTCCCTTCTAAGGTTGTCAATATTAGCATGGATGTTGGCAATGGCCACAGCACAAGTCGCGTCTTCACATAACTACGCAGATGCATTGTCAAAGTGTCTTTTGTTTTTTGAAGGACAAAGGTCGGGAAAGTTACCACCTTCACAACGAATCACTTGGAGGAAAGATTCTGCTCTAAAGGATGGCTCTGATGTTGGTGTAAGTCTCTCTCTCTCACTCTCTCTGAGTTAATCAATTATCACAATCCATTGTCCGACACAGATACTTGTTGACTATTTAGTCTACAAAAGTCAACAATCATCATAAATTTTGGAAAAAAAAAAAAAAAAAAAAAAAACAATAACCATAAATTAATGACTTGCTTGTTTGTGCTTTTAGAATGGCTAAAAACTATTTAATCTATAAAAAGTCCTTTCAGCAGTGTTCGACAAAAATAAATTGTAATTACTTTAATTACGGTTTATTTAAAGTACTTTTAAATGATTTATACATAAGCACCTACTATACCTTCATCAAATTAAGTGTTTCTCCAAGAAGAAAGGAATCGGGAACACGGAAAAGGGGAAGTACGCAAGGATCAACTAGCCCTTTAGTTAATTTGATTCTCGATTTTCAGGTGTTTGCTTAAGATTTTTGAGAAACTCACATTTTTACTTTGATGAAATGATTCTCATGCCCATGTTTTAATTAGTGAACGTACAGCACTCAAGAATCAGAATGATTTCCTATTCCCTATAAGTAAACATGCTTAATTTCATGAACCACTCAAGAGTACGTGGAAGCGCTTAGGGTTTGATAAAGGTTTTGTATCAAGTACTACCTAAATGCATGACATATATATGCTCTTTTTCCACCCACAGATGGATCTTGTAGGAGGTTACTATGATGCCGGTGACAATGTGAAGTTCAACTTTCCCATGGCATTCACTACAACAATGTTGTCGTGGAGCGTTCTAGAGTTTGGACAATCAATGGGCTCGGAGCTTCCATTTGCTTTGGAAGCTATAAGATGGGGGACAGATTATTTGCTTAAATCCACAAAGGTACCTGATTCTGTTGTTGGCGTTGTTGGTGACCCCAATAGCGACCACACTTGTTGGGAAAGACCTGAAGACATGGACACCCCTCGAACCTCTTATGTAGTAACTAAAGAAAAGCCAGGCTCAGAGGTTTCAGCTGAGATTGCAGCTGCACTCGCAGCTTCTTCCATGGTGTTTAAAGATTCGGACAGATTCTACTCGGCTTTGCTTCTTAACCGGTCTATTCAGGTATATAATATTTTCTTTCTAGACTTGTTCATGTATTGTGAGTCAATTAATGTGTCTCGCATATCCAGACAACAATCAATTTGATGATTCTGATCGAGATTCACGGTCAAATAATAAAAAATTCCAAGCATTAGAGAGTATTCTACTTATGTTTTGTGCTATATATATTGAAACCTTTTAGGTTAATAAATTTTCTTTGTATGGTTATTAATCAGGTGTTTGAATTCGCGGATAGGTATAGGGGGTCTTACAATGACAGTATTGGTGAAGGAGCATGCCCATTTTACTGCGACTTCAGTGGCTACATGGTATATAACTGATTGATCATGGGACCTTATAATTTGTTTTCCAAATGTAGTTAGATGTCAAAATTTTGATACCGTGTCGTGTTAAATAAACTTTTTTCATCATAAACAATTTTGTGTGACTAATAAAACAATTGTTGCAGGATGAACTGCTCTGGGGAGCTGCGTGGCTATACAAGGTAACCAAGGCACCATATTACTGGGACTATGTCCTAGCTAACATACACTACTTGGAGTCCACTGTAATAAGAAAGGTTAATGGCGGTCCGTACTTAACTGGTTCTGTCACTGAATTTGGATGGGATTCAAAACATTCTGGCATCAACATACTTGTTTCTCAGGTCAGTTTTCAGTTAACACCATTTTCTTCGTCTCCTCCCTTTTGATCAACCTACGTTAGGTTTTCAATCCAGCTAAATTTTCTTTTCTTTTATTTACTTTGTTTGCAGTGGGCCATGACTGATCCCACCATTTCTAGTCCCTTTATTCCCAAGGCGGACGAGTTAGTATGCTCTATATTGCCTGAATCACCTGCTCCAAAATCAGTCACATTTTCACCAGGTAGTTCCCTATAATTGACCCAACTATTTATGTCATTAGTTTTCCAAAATGTAAATCACTATCGTAAAGTATTCAAAATATGTTTAAGAAAGAAATGTTAGTCGCACTCTTACTTTGTCACTGTGCATTTATTTATGTGCGTATTTTGAAATAGTAAACTAATGATTTTATATATAAAATTTTCTAGCATTTATGCATACACACACACGCATGCGCGTGTAAAACATCGGTACGTATTTCCCTATCTTGATTTATTAATTTTCTATATATATATATCAGGTGGGCTATTGTTCAAACCTGGAGGAAGTAACCTGCAACATTCAACATCCTTATCATTTCTTCTTTTAGTTTATGCTGGCTACATGAAAGCTGCCAACAAAGTTATGAACTGTGGCAACAATGTTATTATCACTCCAGATAGGCTGGTGAATTTCACCAAAGGACAGGTACATATATGTCTCCATATTTGTCAAAATGTCCGGTTTAGATTTATAGTTTAGCAACATATTGTTGGGGCTTAAAAAAACTTCACTACTTTGGAGATGTTTATCTCACAAAGAAGAATGTAATGCAGCGGAATTGATAGGCAAGAGAAAGAAAGAACACTCAATGTATTACACAAGATTTTTATTCACTCACAAACTTAGTACAAGAGAAAACACTCAAACACTCTTAGAAGCTTTGTTGCTTCTTTTCACTTCTCACTTGACACTCTCACTTCTCACTACTTGCTCTCTTGGTTGTTACAAATGGTGTGGATGCCTTCTCCTTTTATAGGCATGGATGGAACCTTGGAGAAGCATGGAAGCATCATGCTAGAGATCTAGATAATTCCACTACCTTCCTAAGCTAGAATTATTTGCGCTAATCTTGTATGTTGGTGGAATCCTCACCATTCTTCTAGACTCTTCCACCAACTTAAACTTTTCTCTAGCATTTGCATGAATCATCCATTATGCTTGTGTTGCCCTTTTCAACGTGGGCTGGATCCATTGTCTTGGACCATGACAAGATTATAATTCAACACATGTGTCTGTCCGGCTGGCAACATATAACATTATAAGTCCGAACAAACCTATTAGATTTTTAATTGTTACATTATAATTTGTGGCTGAAAGTTAATTGGTAATTTTAATGCAGGTTGATTATATACTAGGAAGCAACCCATTGGAGATGTCATACATGGTTGGATTTGGGCAAAAGTTCCCTCAGAAAATACATCACCGGGGATCAGTGATACCTTCCATGGATAAGCACCCACAACATATGGAGTGCCATGAAGGAGACTTGTATTTCAAAGCGCCGATCCAAACCCTAATTTATTAATAGGAGCAGTTGTGGGAGGGCCTGCTGAGAATGATACATTTCAAGACTCTCGATATAATGTTCCACAATCGGAGCCAACCACATATATCAATGCACCTTTTGTGGGTGTATTGGCTTACTTCAAAGTTTGAGCTGTCCTAATTTTGTGTAGGACAATTTGGAGGAAGTGACTATTAGCCATCCTAAACAATTCATCGTTGGAAAGATCAAGAATATGAGTTGATGTAGTTCCTTATCATTTGTCAAAGATTATTGGAACCTACATAAAGAATGTGTGACAACCCGTCCTTAGTTCTACGATTTTATTAACTTTAAAAGAGTGAATTGACGAAAATGCCCTTACTGGCAAGATTGTTGATTTTCGTTGACCGTCATTTAGTGATGTGTGTAAGTTACTATCTTACCGTACTCTCGAAGTTCTCGACGGAACGATCGTGTAAGTGTGATCTAAATCAAAACCGGAATTATAATAGGGGTTTTACGAAACTACAAATCTGAAAAGTACTTTTGTAAAGATTACTATTTATTATTTTATATATTTTATCATTATTTTTGTTATTATAGTATTATTTTAATATTGGGTAAATCTCAGTTTACTAACCTCAAGTTTCATGGTTTTCAACATTTAGTACATAAAGTTTTTTTTTTATCCCAGAGTTTTACCTAAAGTGTTAATTTTGGGACAGTCTCGTACATTCGATAGTCTGACTGTTAAGTCTCCTGTAAACTTATGACGTAGCGCCCATGTGGACGATGACTGAGCTCCACGTGTCATTAAATTTTTTTTTTTAAATTAAAAAAACAGAACCCAGAACGCCTTCGTCTTCCCCACCCAAACCCCTTTGTCATCATCCGACCCCCCTCCACCCAAGCCTCCGCCGCCACGAGACATCCTGATCCGCTCGGTGTGGTTTGATAACCTCGAGTTCGAGACGATTACCCTTTGATTTCCATGGACACCAAATTCCCGAGTGTTGTGGTCCGACCTGACTCCAACGATCCCAATTTCTACCCCCACAAGCCCGCCGCACACTACTTTATGCTCAAGGTGTTGTGATTCCAGTTGTGATATTCCTTTAATAGTAGGGCATTGGGTTAAATTGTAATAGAGAGTTAATTATTAGTGGAAATTGGGGGTCTAATTTGGAAGGGTAGTTAAGTAAACTTAAGGTTGTTTTGTGAGCTGGCATTCATACTCTGTGAAGGCAGCAAAGTGGTTGTTATATTCCCTTACATTGTGGCAATGGGGAGATATGAAAAATCAATATTAAACTTCTTTTCGATTTGCTTTCTTTTTCTCTCTACACTTCCACCATAGTTGCAGGTCAAGGTTAAACCTAGACTATTGAGATACTAACTTTGGTATCACCATAGCTGCATGCCCCGCCATACTGCCGCTACTCGCGCAACTACTATGGATGCTCGTGTCTCAACCTTGGAGGCCGCCTTCGCCTCCATTCCCAATCTTATCGTTGAGAATGTCAACTCTTCGGTTAACGCCGTGGTGGCTTCTGCCATTGCTTCTTAACTCTCTAGCCATCTCGCCACTCACCTCGATCAACAACTTCCCCTCTATTTCAAGCAATTTCGACGTGAACTCCCTACTCGCACTAAGGGGGTAGGTTCTTTGCAATGGGGAACGCCGATCCTGCTTATCCACGTGACCGAGATCCGATTCCATTCCCTCGTGGTCTCAATGGTCCGGGTGATGAGGCTCCATCGCCCTGATCGGTGTGGTCTCTTCGAGTTGATATCATTTCATGGAGGGGGACGATCCGTTGGCCTGGATCTATAATGCTGACCAGTTTTTTGCCTTTTATCACACGCCGGAGAATCAAAAGGTGTTCACCTCCTCATTCTATCTTGAGGGTGAGCCGTTGCAGTGGTTTCAATGGATGAATTGCACTCGCTCAACCCCTCGTTGGGAGGATTTCACTCGAGCCTTTTGTAGGGAGTTTGGCCCCTCTGAGTTTGATAATAGCGCTGAGTCCTTGTTCAAACTACACCAAACAGGTACCTTCTGTGAGTATATCTCTGAATTTCGAAGGCTTGTTAAATGTACCTCTGATTTGGGTCTAATTTTTCTTAAGAGTTGTTTCTTGGGTGGCCTTAAACATGAATTGAAATACGATGTTAAATTTTTTAAACCTGCCAATGTGCATGAAGCCATTGCTATTACTATGCAATTAGACACCAAACGTGCTGAATTAAAACTTCATTCCTCTCGGGTCCCTATTGCTATTAAATCTGCAATCACAGCCCTTCATTCTCCCATTGTACCGCGTCCGGTTAACTTACCCGTCAAGAAGTTGACTTCTACTGAAATCCAACAGAAACGTGATTGGGGAGAGTGTTGGTTTTGTACGGATAAATAGGTTAAAGGGCATACATGCGATCTCAAACAGTTGCTCATGATGGATTTCATTGATGCCACCCTTCCTGAGGATTGTGTTGTTGAGGATGTTAATCATGAATTGCAGGTTATGGAACTCAGTTCTTATGCCTTTTATGGCACTACCATGACACCAAACCTTCGAACCATGAAGGTTAAGGGAACCATTGAGGGTCACACTGTCATTATCTTTTTAGACTCGGGCAGCACTCACAACTTCATTGATTCAAAGTTGATGAAACGTTGGGGCCTCCAAGTCATAGCCACGACTCATTTTGAAGTTATGATTGCGGATGGTGGACGAGTCAAAAGCTCAGGGTGTTCTAAGTCTATAGCTCTTTCATTGGGAGGCTACAATTGCACAGTGGATTTATATTCCTTACCCTTATGAGGTTGTGATGTAGTATTGGGAGTTTACTGGTTGTCCACAGTTAGCCCAGTTTTGTGGGATTTCCAACACTTAACTATGGCCTTTACAAAAAACCAACGATAGTTTGTATTGCACCACGTTACCCCTATAGATTCATCAATCTAAGAGGTCACCCTGCAACAATTGGATAGGGAGCTTCACACTTCTAATATAGGGTTACTTCTGTATTCCATGGAAACTAAACATTTTGAGGATAATGATCTTACTCATTCCCAATTGCAGGAGCTGTAATCTCTTCTTGATGATTTTGAGAAGCTGTTTGCTACCCCTTCTCAATTACCTCCTTCAAGAATACATGATCACCACATTCCCTTATTGCCTGATGCCAAACCACCCAATATTAGACCATATCACTACGGCCCGTTACAAAAGAACAAGATTAAAAAGGTTGTACAGGAGCTCTTGGATGCAGGATTTATTCGGCCTAGTCATAGTCCATTTTCCTTTCCCGTGCTCTTGGTGAAGAAGAAGAAGGGCACATGGCGGTTGTGCATTGATTATAGGGAACTTAATGCACTCACAGTGAAGGATAAGTACCCAATCCCTTTAATTGATGACTTACTCGATGAGTTGTTTGGTGCTAACTATTTTTCTAAATTCGATTTATGATCCGAGTACCATCAAATACTTATGAATCCTACTAATATACCAAAAACTGCTTTCCGAACACATGAAAGGCATTATGAGTTCTTGGTCATGCCTTTCGGTCTCACCGATGCTCCAGCAACTATCCAAAACTTAATGAATCATCTCTTTAAACCTTACTTGAGGAAGTTTGTGCTTGTCTTCTTTGATGATTTGTTGATTTATAGCAAGAGTTGGTCTGATCATTTGGCACATCTCAGATTGGTTTTTGACAAGTTGCAGCACAATAAGTTGTATCTCAAGAGATCTAAGTGTTCATTTGGACAGCATAGGGTTGAGTATTTGGGCCATCTTGTATCTTGAGAGGGGGTGGAAGCTGATCTAAACAAACTGCAAGCAATCCAGGACTGGCCCGAGCCTAAGAATGTCAAGCAGTTGCGAGGTTTTCTGGGGTTAACAGGTTATTACAGGAAGTTTATCCCCGGATATGGGGGAATCTGTCAACCCTTGTTCAATCTCACCAAGCACAAAAATTTTATAATTACAAACAAATCAGGAACGTCGCTAAACGGTTTGCACGACAAAGGTTGTCGTTGTGCAAAACCTTGTGCGACAGAACCTTTGTCGCGCAAATCGCATTCAGTTTTAGGTCAGCGTATTTGGTGCAAGAGAATCAAAGAAATCAATACCGTATTTAGTGCAGATGTTTGGGCGAAAAAGTCTTCGTCACGCAAAGTCCCTAACCTTGCTATAAATATATGCTTCTACTCTCCTTATTCTTCATAATTCGTTTCGAAAATGCTTACCAAGTCTGCAGATTATAATTAGTTCATTCTTTGATTGTTGGTATGATGGCCGACAGTGGTGCGCATTCGTCAAATACAACATATGACAAAGGTTTCAGAAAAGGTATGCGTTGTAAATTTTGCATTTTTTAATAAATTTTTTATTTAGCTTAAGTATTATGAAAATATATTTTGTGGATAGACAAGAAGAAATTTGCTACGGTACGGGTCAGACACACTTATGGTCCCAGCCGTTACCGAATCACTGCTGACGAAGTAATAAGGGTTGTGAAGTTAGAACAGCGCGCCAGCTATTAGTCCGACATTGGAACATTGGTGAATACCAAATATGCTGCGGATTGGGAGTCTTGGAAAGCCATCCCCGAGGAGCTAAAGATGCACATGATTGATGAGTTAGCTGTATGTATTAATTTTATTAGTTAAATAATAATGTTTGTTAAAATAATATAATAGTGAGGTTTTAATTTATTAATTTTTGCATGACAGCCTAATTGGGACAGTGACAAAAATGACCCCAATCTGATGAAGGCTATCAATAACATGTTTAAGTCGCATTTCCGGGAGTGGAAGTTTGATAATCAACGCGCGGCAGAACTACAACAAGAACCACAACTACCGGCGGATGAGTAGAATATGGTTTTTTATTTTTAAGTTTTTTCCAGTATGAAGACTTTAATTAAATATGTACATAATGTTTAATATTAATAAAATTAATTCATTTTAATAAATATATATATTAATTAATTATGCACAAATGGTATAATGAAATAAGTTATTGATTTATTAAGTATTTATGTGGTTTGAAAAAAATTTGAAGAGTGAATGAAAAAATTGAATTTTTTTTCTTCGTAAAAAGAACGTTTAAAAAAAAAAGTAATGTTCGACGAACATGCGCAATGTGTTATAAGAACACAGCAAAGTATAGTTGGATGGCGCCAAAAAGTTGAAGCCCAAGGTTTTGCGTACAAAGTC